GGACTTCGAGCCCCACATTGGACTCTATGCTGATGGTGCTGGGTTGGCTTGGGATTCTGTCTCTTTCTCTCTCTGCCCCTCCCCTGCTCGTGCAGAAACAGGGCTCGAGCAGGGGAGGGGCAGAGAGAGAGGCAGACACAGGATCTGAAGCAGGCTCCAGGCTCTGAGCTTGTCAGCACAGACCCCGACACGGGGCTCAAACTCAGGAACCATGAGATCATGACCTGAGCCGAAGACAGATGCTTAACTGACTGAGCCACCCAGGTGCCCCAACTTAAAAAAATATTAAAAAAAATTAAAATCCATAAATAAAAAGTAAAATCCATAGTTTTTACAGAAATAGAACTTTCATAAGAAAAATTATGTCTTACCTTTTTCAAAGTATCTCACTGCTCTTTGCAGAGCACCTTCTGCTTCATCATCAACATGTCCATAATCTTTCATTCGATTGTCTTGTCCATGTTTCAAGATGCGCTTTGAGGCATTTAGGTCATCTTCTTCCAAGGCCAAGAGATTAGTCTGATAACTATCGCTACCTTGTGAAGTCTTCTTTTGTGCCTTAGAGTCCTTAACTCTCTTTTGAGGTGACATTATTGCACACGTTCTATACAGAAACAAGTGTGAAGTTATCATGAAACAGGCAAACCATCCCTTTTTACTCCACAAAGACAGGGACAATATCTGCCTTGTATTCCCAAACATTCAGTACACAATATTTAGCACACAAGCAGCACACACAAAAATACCCGACAACAATCTGGGCAACAAACTCCATAGGTTAACTTTCACAGAAAGCCCAGGACCTAAATAGGAACAGGGAGAAACAACTCTCCGAGGTAACATTCACCAGTTGAACTTGACTTCCTGTAGAAACAAAGAGTACAAGCAACATAGCAAGCTCTCTTAAAATGGCTCTATCACACAGTAAGTCCAAAACTATTCCATCTCATACATTCAATATCACTTTCTGCACTCACTCCTATCTTTCTCCACCCTTCTTGATTTTGCTTTTAATCTTTTATGCTCTCCACTTTGTGAGTGCTAAGTTAAAACTGCACAGTTCAAAAGTCAAAATGGTGACCAAACTAAGGATTCTCACAACAGAATCATTCTCTATTAACTCATATGTTCCATCAATAATTGTTGATCAACTAGATGCAAAGCACAGTTCTAGTTACCAGGGATAAAATAACAACACAGTTGGGTCTCTGCCCTCATGAAATTTGTGGGAAGGAATGTGAGAGAGCAGAGTGATACCATCTGATTTGTTATAAGACCGTTTGGCTAGTGTGGAGAACAAAATGTTAGGGGGTCAAAGAGTGAAAACAGACCAATTTTTAAAGTCTTGCAGAAGTCCAAAAGACATATGACTGTAGTCTGAACTAGGCCTAAAATAGCGGTGTAAGAGGTAGAAAATGACTGATATGTTTTGGACATAGACTGGGCAAGGCCATGATAAAAGCACTGGATGTAGGGAAAAGGAAAGTGAGGAACTCAGAATGGCTTTTAAGTTTTGGCCTCAAATAAGAGAAACTAAGGAAATGATCGTAAAGACAGTTACTCAATCCCACCTCCCTAAAACATGAAGTTGGAGCAGGACAGCAATACGTATATCTAACGCAACGGGAGGTTCCAGGTTCTGAGATTCCTGGGGTCCTAGAAAAGAAGGGCGGGAAAGCAGCTTCTGACCCCATCCAGTTGAACCGTCCCATCGCTTCCCATGAACTCAGCCCTTCACAGCCTGCCCCAGCAGGGAGCGAACTTGGCCATGATAACTGACCCACTAGACAGATACGTGAGCTGGGGGAAAACCCGATCCCAGCCACACCCTTCAGGAGAGTCTTGCTTAGAAATCAGGAGATTCCCTCTGCCCTGAGTGTCCCCGTTTCGCACAGCCTTTAAAAGTACCTCACCTGTTAGAGGCTCGCGTGGGGCTCTGTGCTGACAGCTCAGAGCCTGGAGCCTGCTTCTAATTCTGTGCCTCCTTCTCTCTCTCTCGGCCTCTCCCCCACTCACGCTCTGTCTCTCTGAAAGGAAGGAAGGAAGGAAGGAAGGAAGGAAGGAAGGAAGGAAGGAAGGAAGGAAGGAAGGAAGGAAGGAAGGAAGAAAAAAGAAAAGTATCTCACCTAACACACTCCTTCGCAACGCCTCGGGAACCCAAAAACTGCCTCCTGAATTCAAATAAGTGAGCCCCGCCCTGCGCATGCGCTTCTGCGGAGACCCAGTCCCCGGCCTGGCGGAGCGGCGCGCTCTGCTGAAGCCTGATTGGTTGCGTTTCAACTCAAGAGCTTAAGGCGGCGCGCGCGCCGTCGCTGACGCAGACCCAATTCCGGAGAGTCGCTGGCCCCGCCTTCCTCGGGCTTCAGACCTTTGGTTTATGGGCCGTTGCTGCCGGACTTAGCTGATTGGCTGGAGTTCCCGCTGCCCTAATAATGTTTGCCTTTGTTATTTTGCTTGAAACCTGACAATTAGTGTCTCGATTCCTGAATTTAACAAGAGCAATTCAGTTATAGTGATCATTTTTCCCCGATTGACCCCAAATGTCGGGACTTTGAATCTGCAGAAAAATATGAAACCGCAAACTTCGCAATAAAGTCTGCTTCTCCCTTGCTGTACAGGAGACTTAGGTTATGGAGTCTGTGACTTCTGAAACTGTCGCTTTTCCCAGGTGAAGCAAGGGGATGGGAGGAAAGGACGGCGGAATCTGCCCTCTTTTTACCGAGGCTGGCCAGCCACGTCTTCCAGGTTTGCTAGAAACCTGTGTCCTAACGTAGGTGTGGCACCTTGCACGTAATCCGACAGGCAGCATGTAAAGATTTCTAACTTTGGGTTATCAGTGGGTCTTAAAGAACCTAGCTGTAACAGCAACAGAGGCTTAGTCTGAGACCGGAGTTTAGTCCCTAGTTTAACCTCTTCCTAGAGTAGGAATTAGAGAGGAAAGGTAAACTGAATGGCTCTGAATTTTTTTTTTAGGCTAAAACATACCTATAAACTGTAGGCAAAACTGTAGGAGAAAACTGTAATCTTAGGAAGAAATGAAGACTCAAAGATTAAGTTGATATATTTTGGAAAGACAACAGCAGAAATTACTATTTACTGCATTTTATATGATTTTCAGAGTACTTTCACGAACTGTTGTTTAATCATGCATAAGAATTCAATGTTTGATCTTTTCTATGACAGCTGCTCCCATCTAGTAAAACTGAAAATTTCTCGAGTCATTTTTCATGCTTTTAATGATTTCATAGACTCAAATGTGAATTGGAATGTATTTTTAACCTTCAATCCCCTTATCTTTTGTAGACCATGAAACTGGGGCTCTGAGTGGTGAAATAACTTTCCTAACGTGACAATTCTGTGGCATTGGAACTTGTGCCGCTTTGTGGATACACACAGTGAGAGAACACTGGTTCACCTTTATTTAATATACCTGCAATTTTCTCTGAAATCACTTTTCCACCTTCCCTTGGCATCATCTAGTGAAACAGAACTTCCAAAACCTGAAATTGTATTGACCCTAATTCTATGGCTTTCTGTATTATATGCTGACATCACATAAGTGTGGGGGAACTTAAAATGAAATAGAAAAGTTGGTAACCTTGTTAGTATACAAAGTGATTACACTTTTCCTTCTCTTATTCTCCCTTATTTGGAATCAGAAATAAAAGAGCCTGAATCGCTTGATATGACCTTCTTCCCAGATTTTCATTATTTGTCCAGACAGTTTCCTCCAAATTTCAAAAATTTTTATTTTGAAAGAATGAGAGAAATAAGACAGAGGTATCAATTAACAAGAACAATGACACCGAAGAAAATACAATAATTGGTACTCCCCACACACACAACACCCCCACCCCTCTCCCCATCCCTGGCACAGTAATATTAAAACCATCAAAGCACATCTAACAAGGAGAAACAGCAGTATGGAATGAAGAAAGCAGAATTTCATACTGCTCAATCCAACTAACCATATCGAATGTCCTTCCCCCAGATATACTCCACCCACCAGAATGATAAAGTGTAGAGGAGACAACCATGGGAGTAACTTGGATCTCTGCTTACACTACCAAAGTTCAGTGAAGATTCAATAGGAGTAGTGAGTCTGTTTGGCAGGGAAACACTGGTTACAGCTCCTCTGTCAAGTTTCAGATGATTTAGAACAGCTAGAGTTTGAGATTCACAGAATTCTAACAGGACTAATCCTTGCTGCCTCAACTGCAACAGTGGAGCATCTGCCAAATCCTGGTTAGCTGCTGAGAATAGTAGGAAGTGAGGCAGCTTTTGTCTTAAGAAACCCAAAAATGATGTCTGGTAACAAGTTACTGTGTCAGTTTCAAACTGAGTAAAGGAGCTTAGTAGGTTGGGTTGGGGCAAAGGCAAGGTGAAACTTCCAATTTTATCACTTGAATTAGATTATGTATGGACTGCATATATCCCTTATTTTAATTAAACTGAATATAGAGTATTTAAAATTTCAACAGCTGTTACAGTGGAGGCTAATCAGTATAACCCAGTGTCTCAAATTGAAGGAACTTTTTCCTAAAGTGATAAAATGGTTCTCAGCTTAATCTATTGAGGGAAATTCCCTCATCCCACTGAAACACATCACTGATTTATACCAGAAGTAAGTAGGATTCTCTTTATGGGAAGTTTGTTTTATTCCACCCTCCCACTAGAATCAGTCTATAAAGGGAAGGATACCTGTGCAGGATTAGTTCAAGATCAGAGCCTTCTCCTTGCACCTCCGTGCTTGCGCACGGGCACACGCGCGCGCACACACACACACACACACACACACACAGTAAATACATTTTCCCACATATAATCTTATAGTCACATGCTTGCTGGAGTCCATCTCACAAATACACTTCAATAGTTAGCCAAATACATGTACATGCAGCAAGATGTGAGAGTTGCCCCGGAGTGATTAAAGGTGGTGCACACATGTCTATGTGGGGAAGTCATTTTAGGGTATAGGTGTACACAAGCCAATAGGGCCATTAACTTGCAGATTCTATTTTTCCCTTTCCCTCAAGATAAATCAAATGAAAAACACACAATGACATCTTCCTGGGTGTCATGGAGGCAACTGCCTGGAAGGTCCACTTTTGCTTTCCTATGACAACTTCATTTTGCCCTGAGGGGCCTTCTCATATAAGGAGGGCTGCTCCTCTGCATTCCCGACATTCCCTGCTTGCCCTGATAGTGGTGAGGGCTTCTTCTCAGAAGACTGGTCTTCTGGCTTGCGGGCAATCAACAGGCGGCAGGTGAGCAGGATTCCAAACACCAGAGCATGGGCGTAGCGTTTGAGAGGATCTCCAACTAGCTGATGGAAGAAGAGCACAGCCAACACCAGCAAGAGTAGGAAGAAGTTGGCCACATCTTTGGGACGCCCAGGTACCAGGGTCATGACAATGCCACAGGCCACCTCTAGAGCACCAATGCTTTTGCGGAGGAGAATAGAATTGATCCCCATTTTCTTCAGCAGAGGGAGGGCTCGGACATAGCTCTTGTAAGCACGTTTCTAGAGTGAAATATCATAAGGAATGCCACATTTAGCATGATTTTAACATTAGAATGAAGAAAACACAAGCGAGGTCCTCCTTCCCCACCATTCCCTTTCTATGTCCCCACCAGGTCCATTTTTTTTTTTTCAGTGTGGCCCCTAAGTAAAGTCCTTGTAATTAAGATGAGAAAAAAGCAAGGAATCTTCTGAGGTTCCTGTGATTTAAACCTTAGTAACAGCACAAAAGAGAATTTAGCTTTATAGTTAAAATTATTTTCTGAGTATAAATCATAAACAAAACTAAAAGCATTTTAAGAAGCTTAGGGGTGCTTTGGTGGTTCAGCTGAATAAGCATCCAACTCTTGATTTCAGCTCAGGTCATGATCTCATTGTTCTTGAGACCAAGCCCCGCATTGGGCTCTGTGCTGACAGCGTGGAGCCTGCCTGGGATTCTTTCTCTCCCTCTCCCTCTCCCTTGCCCCTCCCTGCTTGTGCTCTCTCACCTTCTCTCTCTCTCTCTCTCAAAATAAGTACATAAATAAATAAACATTTAAAAAATAAATGAAGATATTGTATCGGGCCCATAAAATCTGGTACAGATTAGCCACATCTACATTTTCTACTGCTTGCCTCATCTAAACCCAGATATATATGAATACCACCCAAAATGAAACAAGACAAGGCACATTGTGGTAAAGCTTCACTAATTTAAACTTCCCTAATTTGGAATCTGTGATAATTCAGACAAAAGCTGAGCTAGAGTTTACATCTGTGTAATCTGTAAAAATTAAAAAGTGAGTGCTAAGTGAATAGAAAACTACAAATGTATGCAAATACTAGACCCATATATATCTTTAACAAAATATAGTAAGATAAAAATCATTCTCATGGTCATTGAGATAAATCCTTAGGCCTTTACAAGACACTACTTTGATTAGCCTGATGCAAGTTCATTAATTTTAATTCAACAAATACTTATTAAACACCTACCATTGATTAGGCAATGGAGATAAGGAGGTAAATAAGACAGGATCTTGGTCTAGTGGTAGGAAACAGATACATAAAATACCAGTATAAAGCAGCATGGTTAGCAGCACATGATAGAAGCCTGTGCAAGGTCTAATTATAGCTCAAAGGGAGACATAATAGAACAGAGAAGGGAGTCACTGGATACATTACAAAGCAATAAGATTATATTGACCTTAGAGTAATAGATAATCATATTTTTCACTATATTCAGACTGGCCTGATCCTCATTTTGTAGTAAATTGACGAGATTTTATCAAATGTCTTCTTAGGTTGGCCCACTGCTTTGTTTTCAGTAAGTATCCATTAATTCATTCGGTATTTCTTAAGTGCCTTCTTGTGCTAGGCACTCTACTGGGTACTTTGGATACAGATATCAATCATTCTAAGGCCCTGCCTTCCTGAAGCTTGAGTTTATATGAAGAAAAGTTATGTAAATACAGAAGTGCAATAAACTGTAATGGGTGCTGAATAAAATCATATAGTGGATAGAGTAGAGGCAAACCAGAGTGGCCAACTCTTCCTAGATGGAAACTGAGAAAAGCTAAGGTGAAATATTAAAGAAAGAGCAGGTGTTTGCAATATCAACAAGGGAAGGTCATTGCAGGCACAGGAAAATGGACGAGCAAAGGCCCTGAAGCACAAAATAGATGTGTGTATTTCAAACACTGCCCCAGTTCAGCACAGATTGGGGGAGGGAGAGGTGAGAGTGAGACATGAGACAGGGGAGATAGATATGAATCACGGATCATGAGATCTATATATGTCCTTTATATGTGTCTATATATGTGTCACCATGAGATCATGGAGAACTATATATGTTGTGTTGCAGAGATGGACTTTATCCTATAAGACAGGGAGAGCAACATAATTTGCTTTTGAGGATGGTCCCTCTGGAAATAGTGTGGAGGATGGATTGGGAGAGATGCTTGGAAGCAAGGAAATCAAGTAAGAGACCTAGGGTAATGACAGTAAGGAGAGAGGGAAGGGTATAGTCAAGGATATTTTTTAAAGCAAAATCAGCAGAATTTGGTGTCATATTGGATGTGGACACTGAGGGAAAGGGATAAGTCAAGAAAGATTCTCTGGTTTCTGGATTGGGTACCTGCATAGAAGGTACTGCATTCTCCAAGTTTGGGGATGCATCTGGAAGAGCAGGTTGGGGGTGGTGCAAGGGGTAGGAAGGAATGAGGGACTCAATTTGTTTTTATTCTTTTTTTTTTTAGTTGAAGTATCTTTAAGACATCTAAGTGGGGATGTCTGGTAGGCAGCTCAGTAAGAGAGATGTGAGGTAAAGATACATAATGGACAGTCATCAGTATCCAGGTAGAATGTATACAGTGGGGAAAATTGTGTGACAGATGTTTAAGAAATAGATAAAGGAAGAGAGTCCACAAAGTAGACAGAAGATAGTGTAGGTGGAAAAGTATGGGGAAAACCAAGAGACAAGGTCATGGGGGCCAAGGTTTTCAAGAAGAGAATAGTCAAAAGTTTCAGATGCAAGGCAAGGATGATGAAAATCAGGCAGAAAGCCAACTTGACCTCTTAGAAGCATCTGGCACTTAGAATATGTTCACACACTCCAGGTTTGTAAAAAATGTTAAGTCATTTCTCTCACTTCTGGATAAGTGAATGTACCTTTTTCAAGGATGAATTATTATGAGTGGCACAAGATAATCCTCTATGAGGACTGTTAAAAGACCAATGGTTTACTGGGAAAAAAAACATGGGTTTTGATTCAAACAAATTTGCCTTTAAATCCCATCTCTGTCACTTTCTACTTGGATGTCCATAGGCAAATTATTTGACCTCTCTAAGCCTCATTTTTTTCTGACCAGGGTTAAGATTAAAGTGAAATGAGCAAGGCTATTTGCCTTGAATGCAAAATTTAAGATGGCACCAAAAACAATTCTTGATTAAGGTAGATAATATCTTTAAAGAACAAAATATCAAAACATTAAATAAAGGCAGGATCCAACTCTGCACTTGTGTAGCCCTGCCTCACTTGCCTCTTCCTAATTCTGGCCCTGTCAGATCCTGTGTTTAACATTTCACCTCACCCTTTTCCTGAGCATATAAAGAAACACAGCATGTTAGACATTCTTCCACCCTCACCCCATTTTCGGTTAAATCAGGGACTTTGAAAAAAATTAGGGGCGAGTTTCACCAGTAAGCAGCAGAAAACCATGGGCAGACCCAAATGGAGCAGAACATAGATGAGGGTTAGGGCACCTGGTGGTGGGGAAAAGTATGCCTGTTTCCTCTTGCTGTTAAACTAGGTGCCACCTACCCACTCTCTCCCCCTCTCCTCTCTGGTGACGTTAGCAGAGCAACATTAGGGAAAGAAATCTAGACATAAGAGCCTTTCTTAACACTTTTAAGTAAGGACCATTTCTAATTAACAACACAAAGTTTCCCAAGAGGCAGTTCCTAATCCTAAATGTAAGCTTCTGACATGATGAACGCAGGAGGTAAGAAGAGTTTCTTATAGTCAAGTTCAGAGCCAAGACTTACAGACTGGCTGAGTGGCTTCTGGAAACAGTACTTTTTTGGCTAAGGCTAACCACCCATCATTCAAGAATAGATTCTTAACTATACCATTGTGGAATTTGTAGCCTTTGGCCAAACTCCAGGTCTTTAAATCAAGTTCCTATGACTTCAGCAGCTTTTTTTTCTTTTTTAAATGTTTATTTCTGAGAGAAAGAGAGACAGAGCACGAGTGGGGGAGGGGCAAAAAGAGAGAGAGACACACAGACTCTAAAGCAGGTTCCAGACTCTGAGCTGTCAGCACAGAGCCTGACATGGGGATCAATCTCACAAACCATGAGATCATGACCTGAGCTGCAGTCACGTAATCAACTGAGCCACCCAGGCGCCCCTCGTGACCTTTTTTTGGTTACATTTGGTGTAACTCCTTATCACTTTTTCAGTTGTTTATCTAACTTCTTAAACTACAGCTGTGGATTTTTTTATGCAACTGTTGCTTGTTTATTTCCCTTCTTTTCTCCAGAGGAAACTGCAGGTCCATAGCCATTTCATCAAATCTTTAGTTCAAAGCTGAATAGGTACAGATAGCATCTGTTCTCCAGGACTCTAGACAGGGAGACTTTAATTTGTTAGAGAAGGGACTCAGCTTGGGTGGGGTCTTGACATTATAGGAAGCACTTTATTCTTTCTCCTGTGGAGTAGGATGGAGACATCAAAAGAATCCTTTATTGCCAGCCCCGTCAATGTTTGGTCTCGGCCACCTCATTTCTAACAATAGAAGGGCCACATGTCTGGGCCACATGTCTTGAGTCTATAGTAACTAGATCTCTAAAAACTTTAATTGTTCTGATAGTAAGAATAAAGAGAGTTGCGGGCGACTGGGTGGCTTAGTCGGTTAAGCGTCCGACTTTCGCTTAGGTCATGATCTCACGGTTCATGGGTTCGAGCCCCACGTTGGGCTCTGTGCTGACTGCCAGCTCAGAGCCTGGAGCCTATTTCAGAGTCTGTGTGTCTCTCTCTCTCTCTGACCCTCCCCTGTTCACGGTGTCTCTCTCTCCTAGAAATAAATAAAAAAATATTAAAAAAAAAAAGAATAAAGAGAGTTGACCAAGTCACTCTCCCAAAAGGCTCTCACAGATCATTTTTTGGTCTGTTTCCTTTCCATTGCAATGACTATACTCTATAACCATAGTTTCCTTATAGGGCAAGGAAGCAAGAAAAGAAGAGTGTTTAGTCAAATGTTTCAAATCCCTTCCATGGGAAGCAATCATCCAGCAATACCCTTGGACTGAGATTTTTAAGATACGCTAAATTTCAATTTTAGTTTTGCCCCTAAATTGCTTGGAGAAAATTACTAAGTATTTTATTATCTGGGTTTCCTCTTTTATAAATTAAACGTGCAGTTTGGAGATTTAGTAAAAAATTATAGTATCATGGCATCAACCAAGGGACACAAACACACATTTCATTATTAATGAACCATACAATGAGAAGTCCATGTGTTT